ACATGATGCACATGTGTAGTGACGCAGTTCGGAGACGGTGTAGATTGGAGGCGCCTTGTTCATCCTCGCACGCAAGGGGGCTGGCTGTACGTACCCTGCGTGGGTGTACACCATCTGCATAGATATATCGCGCATACACAACCATCTGTCGCCGGCGGCACTAACTCGCTATTGCAGTCGGCAGGCTGTCTCGCTAGTGGCGTCCAGCGATGGCGAGGACGGCGGCGACGATGGTGGTGGTGAGATTCCCACTTCCATCCAGCAACAGCCCCGAGCTCTTGTTCGGGGCCCCCTCTTATCCTCCTGGCGTGGCCTTGCTCCGCCCTCACCACGTGGCCTTGCTCCGCCCTCACCACGCCCCCCTTCTGGAACCTACTAGCAGTTCCCGGGACTTCCAGAAGGCCCCCTCCATGAACTTTGCCAAATGTTTTATCCCTCGTATATACTGTCGTCTCCCATAATATAGGTTTTATAAATGTGTCGTTAAAACCCACCACCACCCGACACAGCCAGCTAGTAAGGGTTGTCACGTAAACAGAACGTGCCAATTCGTCACTCGTACAGCACAACCGGCGTGTTGGAGAGCCAAGCCACAACATTTACAAACGGAGTACGACGTTTCGCCAGTAATTACAACTAGCTTCGTCAGGCGACAGCCAGATTTGTGGAAAAGTCTTACTGTTTCGTTCCTGATATAGAGGCGTAGATGCCTACAAAGGGCAGCGTACTTCAATAGGGATTACCGTTGGTAGGGCTAATTTAATAAACACAATAGACAGCAAGGACAAGTTCAAAGGGCTCGCATAATGCACATGCATAATGTACGTTGCCTCAGTAATCCCCCCCGGCTCCCCCCATATTGTGCAAGAGCACAGAAGGGTGGTCAACACATCTACGCCTCTATATAAGGAACGAAACAGTAAGACTTCTCCACAAATGTGGCTGTCGCCTGATGAAACTAGTTGTAATTACTGGCGAAACGTCGTACTCAGTTTGTAAATGTTGTAGCTTGGCTCTCCAACACACCGGTTAGTGCTGTACTAGTGACGAATTGGCACGTTCTGTTTACGTGACAACCCTTACTAGTTGGCTGTGTCGGGTGGTGGCGGGTTTTAACGACACATTTATATATTTACGCGATCTAACCCAAAAACCTCTATTTCGGATGTTGGTCGCGAAAGCCTCCTACGTGTTAAACATCAAGTCGTCTCTTGCAGCTACACTGTGTAGGTAGCAGCCAGCGCTATGGCACTCAACATTGATCTCCTGTTGGATGGGTGCCTCCACACAACCTGCGGCTCGTGGGGGTTATCTGACTATACTTCACCACTTACTTGACTATACTTCACCACTTATTTGACTATACTTCACCACTTATTTGACCATACTTCACCACTTATTTGACTATACTTCACCACTTATTTGACTATACTTCACCACTTATTTGACTATACTTCACCACTTATTTGACCATACTTCACCACTTATTTGACTATACTTCACCACTTATTTGACTATACTTCACCACTTATTTGACCATACTTCACCACTTATTTGACTATACTTCACCACTTATTTGACTATACTTCACCACTTATTTGACTATACTTCACCACTTATTTCACTTTACTTCACCACTTATTTGACTATACTTCACCACTTATTTGACTATACTTCACCACTTATTTGACTATACTTCACCACTTATTTGACTATACTTCACCACTTATTTGGCCATACTTCACCACTTATTTGACTATACTTCACCACTTATTTGACCGTACTTCACCACTCTGGCCAGTGGAGTGACGGGGTCACGCGCATTCGCTCCCACATCCACGCCTCCCGACTCTGCCAACCCACACCGGATCAGCGTGGGGAAGTGACTGTGATCATCTTTTGCCATGGTCAATCTACTGCTCGATGAAGGCTTCCCCACGATGCACTGTCTCACGGTGTGAGGATTACATTGCTTCCATCTCCACAGTGGACGTCCTTTTGGACGTGTTCCAACCCACGGATGCTCCGTCATTGTTTTGACTGTGGTCCAGCAACCCTTGAAGCCCACTCAGTGTTATCACATTAACCTATTGAATGATGTAATTAACCTGAGTATCTTCTTCAGTCTGCGCGTTTCTCCTTCTGTCTCTCAAATTCCAAGCAGTCATCTCTGCCTGATCCTTTGTTCGATATTAGTATCTAATAAAAAAATGTTGTTCGTGATCGCGTCTCAGAATGATGCCAAAGCAGGCCGTACCCACTGAAGGAAACTACATTAAACATTGCTTCTACTCTTCGTGTTGAAGTAGGGTCATACGATTCGCAAAGCGCCGCACGACACGGGGAGGCCATCATCTATCAGTGGATTAAAAGAGGGATGTTTATTACTATATCATTACGTATAAACGTGAACTTGTGACAAAAGCTCACCCACATACACAGTATGCAAAACATTGCATTGTAGGCTGTTAGCAAGCACCTATTCAGGTCGGCACGTATATATCGATGTACGTAGGTGCAGCACGACACCCTTGAGGCTGTTTAATCCGGTCACTGCCGGTGGCTCTAAGCCAGCGGCGTGGACACGTGACCTCTATGTGTATCCTGACCTCCGCAGCCTTTTGGTTGCGTTTTGTGGGCTTGGGGGAGAAGGGGGGGGGCAGGCAGCGGCAGTCTGGGTTGGGAGGCCTCCGCCTGCGCCAATGCATTGTCGCTCAACGTCTCCGGATGGCCGACGCCACCTTGCGCCCCAGAAACTTCCCTTGTGCACCGCCCGCGACCACCCCGTATCTATCCAGACGTGGGCTCCCCCTTCCTCCAGCCAGCACAGCCCAGACCTGCCCAATGCGACCACGCAGCGTGCCTGCCCAGCGGCACATCCGTGTTGCTTTTGCTGCTGTGTTCCTGTTCTCATGAATTGTACGTGTTCAACGATAGACATTCAAAATCTTATCTTGATGGCCTTATCGGTGTCATGTCATGAGACGAAGAATCAATTTGGATCTCTTGCAGAGCAGTGCAGAGACTGGCTCACCACTCGTGAGCGTCGCTCCTCTGCCCTCCGTTGTTGTTGGAGGCTGACTGCCTTCAAGTTCCCAGGAGCATCCTTCACGAGTCTCCTGCAGGCCGATCTTGACTCCGCTGATACCAGTCATCGGCAAGTCCAAACAGCTCCACATCCTCCTGTACTAGGGCCCATCGTTTCTTCAGCCCGTGTCACGCCTATTTACCCCTCTCTATCCAGCGAAACAGAGGTGGCACCGTGGGGCGCACAGGTGATGGCATGTCAGTCATCTCAACCTCACTGCCTGAGATGACCCATAGCACCTGGGTCTGTCCTGTGACCTCCTGGCAGCAGAGAGCCTTCGACACTTCACGTTACCTCAAGGTGCATCTAGCTTGGCACAAGCATTGTGGGGACGCCTACGTCACTTAGTGGTGAACGGCGGCTGCAGTTGTTAAACCCCACTACGGCATACAGCCCGGTGTGTGTGGACGTGTGTGTATATACTTGTATAGAGTCCGGTGTGTGTGGGCGTGTGTGTTCTCGTGTAGCCCGGTGCGTGCCCTGGTGATGTAAGCTCCATGACGGGGGTGGTGGGGGCACCCTGGGAGGGTTCTGCTCTGAGTTGGTCCCAGCCCGGGCAGGCTGCCTCGCCTCGGGGGGGATCAGGGGGCCGAGAGGGGTAGAACGGAGCTGTTTAGTCCGCGCAATGTGCGCACACATTCCAATCTTTCGCTCGCTCTCTCTCTCTCTCCAGCGTCTCTCTCCTCTGACCACCACTCACCCCTCACCAACCATCACCGCCACCGCCCACTCACTCCGGCATCATCCGCTCCCTCAAGGGACCCATAACGAGAGCAAGGCTGTCAAACCAGCCGCCTCACCCCGGCGCGGCGCAAACCACAGGGCGTGTGTCGTGTCACCGCTGCTGGTGTGTGTGTGTGTCATTAGGCGAGTGCGCGTTTGTGTATGGGGAAGTGGCAGTGGAGCGGTTAGCCTTCCGCGCTATGAATCCGGCCACCCAAGTTCGATTCCCGCTCACAGCGAACACTCGTGAATGTTTGAAGCAATCCCGGGCGTCCCCTATGTCGACTCAGCCTTAAATGAGTATCCGGTGCGATGTATAAATATCAGCATTGGGGAGACATGGTGCTTGGCCACCCACCCCTTGTGTGCCATACCCCAACAGTCTGTGTAAGGCTTTAAGGGGATCTTTATCTTTGTTCACGTAGGGAGCAGTGGCACAGTGGTTATCGCACCACGCGCACCCACGTGGACTAGCGTGGTGAGCTCTGTCTAGTCAAACAACACCCATAGTCCACATGGCGTGGTGAGATCAGCATCTCGCAGTGGATTGACCAAGGGTGAATATTGATTTGAGCTTTACATTATGAAATGTGGGAGGTTTGACTGGTAAACTAGATATTTTGGTAGGTTGCTAGTTCATCCCATTATTTCACCGGGGTCGGTGTGATGGGAGGAGAGACACGTAATGGAGACGCGTGAATGAGAAAGTTTGAGCAATCCCCACGGCACGTGACAACGCGACTTCTGGCTAAGAAGTAGTAGAGTCATGCTCTCGTCAGCAACGTGTATTTTGAATTTTTTTCCGAAGCAAATGAATTATGAAAATAAAGTTCTGCCTCTGCTGTGTAAACGAGAGGTCACGTAAAGGCATCTAGGAGGTAACTCTGTAATATCCACTTCTGTGGGCCATTATTATTCCGTGGGCCAACACAAAAGGTTGCAGCACTGTTCTGTGAGTGATCTGAATGGTTATTTTGTCTCATGCCGGGATACCAATAGCACAATCGAGATAACATTGGGGGGAAGGCACGTGTTTCATCAATGTCTCTCAGATAATATCACAGCACATATGGCCCAGTGTGTGCCGCATCATGAGACACGATTGTAAGTAATGGTTTAATAAAATCAAGTTACGTATCATTGTAACACTGAGATCGCCTTAAGGGCTGTACAGATATATCCATGGTAAGTGAACTGCGATGGCCTCATGCACAAGGCCCGCACATTAACTTGAATCATCAGGATGAAGAATATGGAGTAAGATTGGAATCTACGGATTCTCAGCTGGAGGTCACTACTCTGAGAAGCGGGTGGGGGGGGGGATGTGAAGGCGGGTGGAGAGAACATGGGCGTCGTGACGCAGCCGTGGTTGTGGGGAGTGGGCGTGGAGGTGACCGAGTAACGATGGTGGTGGTGGATGGGTGTCTGACTCCCAGGCTAAGTTCTGTGGGGCCACCTGCACACACGAGTGCACGCATCACAACCACGCCAACACGAGCAACCACTAGGGGCATCTCTCATAATTATCCACAGACCATGATAATTATTGTGTGCTTGCGTGCGCGCGTGTGTGAGACATCGCAGGCACAGTGTGAATAAATTTCCACTTCATGAATTGCGTTTTTCCAATTTTGTGCCCTGTGCACTCGAAAACTACTTCGCCAGGGCGTCCAAAATAACTCCTGACGGTGGAAGAATGGAGAGGCACTTTCAGTGAAATGGTTCAAGGCCGTGCGATGGTGGCACATCTTCTGTTTTCTGCTAAATGGGACTGGACTTTGGATGGCGGGGGGCGTGGCAATGCAAATTTGTGTGCAGTGAAGGCATTGTGCCTTGATTTTGAGCACCTAGTGTGGGTCCATATCCACGTGTGAATGTGAGAGTGTGGGGGATGTGGCGCCGTGATTAGCACGCTGCACTATGAACCCAGCCACCCAAGTTTGATTCCCGATCATGGCCAACACCAGTGACGATTATCTGAACCGGTCCTTGGCCTCCCCTAGGTCGACTCGGCCCCACATGAGTACCTGGTGCGGTGTGTAAACAACGCCGCTCAGGGAGACAAAGGTGTGCCGTTCTGGCCTTTATAGCTGCTCCCGGCTAACAGCACCTGCCCCAAAAGCCTGTTAAGGCTAATATTGGGGCATATTTGTATTTGGTTTATGTATTTGCACGAATCCTGGCTTCATGGTGCAAACAAAAATGAATCCACAGCAGATTTGTAAAAACGTTAAATTCACATTTTCATTATAGCTAAATATATAAATACAGACATGTGTTTGATATATCAATGCATATAACAATAAATATATAAAGGATTTTAAACTTTGTGATCATTGTAGTTTATATAATATAACGATAATAACCCAACGTTTCATGATAAAATTAATGCAGGTAAAATGTTCGTGTGCAGAACGTATTTGTTGTGTGGACTTTGTTTCATTAGTTATATAAATATTTAATCATTTAGGAAAACAATTGTTCATGACCATCCAGTATATTTAGTTTTTGTATAAATACAGAGTGGAAGAAAGTTCCATAGCGAGAGTCGTTTGTGCCGCACGGCGTTGGTTCTCTTCGCCTGGCGTGCCACCCGGGGCTCTTTGTGGAGTCGCCATTTCTTCACCAACCACCCCGATCTCACGGCAATACTTCGTGGAAAAAAAATGCAGTGGTGCTTCCCAAAGCAGAGAGCCCAGTCAGGATGTTCCTTCTGTTTACGTCGTCACGTTTTACTCCATTCCTTCCGAGATGAGAGCGGACCCTGCTGCACGATCACTGCCAGCGCCACGAGTCGTGTTCACACCTCGCGTCGGAACGCACTGCGGCACGCCAGCGGTGCCCTGGCACGTGTCCCATCGTGGCAAAGACGTCGCCAACATTTCATGCAATTATCTCACTCTAGTCAAATTGAAAATCGGGCCCCCGAAGGTAAAACTCATTTCAAAGCATCGGGGATGATTGTAGCAAGGTTAGGGCCGTGGTCAGGAGTAGCGTCCGTGCTGATGTCCGATAGGCGAAGTTGTTAGGGTCAGGGATGGGGTCAGGTCACGTGATGATGAGCTCTTACCCCGCGCCTGCCATCGCCGCGTCGCCCCTCTCCACACTTGGGCCGCTTCTCGCATTGACGGCGCCGTTTAGCGGCAGCCGCAACCCTCCACCACCATGTCCTGGTAGTTCTTAAGCACCACCTTGCCGTACTCGTCCAGGTAGAGCATGGAGATGGGACTGAGCTCCGTGGGCACGCAGCAGGCGCGAGGGATGCTCGCGTTCACCGAGTTGACGAGCGTCTGCACGATGGCGTGGTTCGTCGAGTTGAGGTGGTCGGCCAGAGGGAAGGGGCACTCGCCGTGGCAGAAGTAGGCGTGGTACCCGGGCGGCGCCACGATCCAGTCGTTCCAGCCCACCTCGCGGAAGTCGACGTAGAGCGCGTGGCGCCTGCAGCCGTGGCGCGGCTTGCGCCTCGCCCTGAGCGCCGTCTGCCTCGGGGCCCCGCCGGCGCCCCTCCTCGCGCGGCCCCGCGGCGCGAACGGGGCCCGGCCGTCGCTGCCGAAAGTGACGAGGAGCGGCCTCGGCTCGGTCCGGCGGCTCCCGTCGCCCGGAAAGGGCGAGGCGATGCCCGAGCGGGGCCGCGCGGGCGTCGCCTCGCCGGGCACGCCTTCGGCGGCCCCCCCGCCACGCGGCCCCCGGACGGGCAGCACCTCGACCGCGAAGCCCCGGTTAGGCGCGGAGCCCCGGGTCCAGCGCGAAACGGCGGGGCTCACGTCGAACGCTTCCCAGCGCGACTCGTTTGCGCGCACCACGCGAGTGTCCAGCAGCCGGCAGGCGGCGTCCGACGATGGCGGCGCCACCACCTCGTACACGTTGATGCGCTCCAGCCGAGGAGTCGACTCGCATGCCGGCGAGGATGAGGGACATGAGCTGTGCACGCGTGTGTGGTGCACGCGCAGTTCAGCCGCAGTCACCTCCTCAGAGTCCGGGATGGACGAGAGATTGAAGAGGAAGTGCCACGTTGTTCCGCCTTCTGTGCTCTGCCCAAGCGAGAGCTTCTCCGTAGACTCTGGGTACATGCAAAACAATAACAACAACCTTTGAGTAATTGTGCCTTCACTTATTTGTGCCAAGCTAGGTGCACTTTCAGGCCATGTGAATTATGGAAGTGTCACTGGCACGAGGCCACGTGGAAAGCCTCTAATTATATAACTGATCGACAGGTGACTTGCTGATGCACCACCTGCACACCTCACTTTGCGGACTTGCTGTGTTTTAGCAGCCGAGCACTCCGCTCGTTGTTGTGAGCGTCGCTCCTCTGCCCTCTATTGTTGCTGGAGGGCGACTGCCTCCAACTGCCGAGTAGCGTCCTTCACAAGCCCCCTCCATAGAGGACGATCTTGACACCATTGATACCAGCCATCAGCAAGACCAATCAGCTCCACGTCCTCCACATCAGCCCATCTCTTCTCGAGTATGTTTATCCCCTTATATCCGGGAAAATAAAAGTTGCTTAAGCATGCGTTAGCGGGCTACGTGACCCAGCCAACGCAGCCTCGCCTATCGGAGGAGCTCACCAACGGCAATGTGTGCATGTGTGTCGAACTTATTTCTCACCACATGGTGCCAACCGTGACACTCTGAGGTGTGTGTGGACACACACACACAGAGGGAGGTGCCCCATTCTAGACTGGGTGGACCCTTAGTGAAACATTAACCATTAATGTTTTAAAGAGGGCGGATGGGGCCACACCATCCATGCATGGTTACATTGTCTCGCTGTTTCTGATAACCCCGTAAAGCAGCTACTCGTTTTAGGTTGAGTAAACCTAGAAGAGGGTTTCAAATTCTAGATTTGAAGCTTTCGTGACTGCAAGGATTCATATTCTTAGGTTCCACCTGAAGACGGAAGCTTGTGTTGCCTCTGAAACGTCGTGATTTTTATTTTATTTTACTTTTATTAATTTTAATTTTTTACCTACGTGACTTTATCGAAAAAAACCTAAGAATAAGGGTTTCAAATGCCATGATGATGTTGCGTATCATGACCAGGAATTGGTGTTAACTGCGATTCCAACTCAACACCCACCTGCGTTTAAACTATTGTCAGTTGTGTTATATCAGGTTGCTTTTTGTGATCAGAGCACTTGATTTGGCAACACGAGTTTAAATCCCAATCGGGACGGGGGAAGGAGTGATTTATAATAAAAAATGAGTACACTTTGTGGAAAGTCTATAGAGGTTGGTTCCAGCCATAGAAATGTGGAATTTCTACACCTCTCGTTTGGGATGCTAGATTGTACAAGACCGCAGCCGTGAAAGGATTTATTAATTTTTGGACCGCGGACTTGAATGGGGGAACCGTGCACATTTTTTGTCACGCCTGACATGGCTCAGTGTGTGTGCGCACGTGTCTGTGTGGGCTGTTTGTGTGTGCGCACGTGTGTGTGTGGGTTGTTTGTGTGTGTGCACGTGTGTGGGCTGTTTGTGTGTGTGGGCTGTTTGTGTGTGTGCACGTGTGTGTGTGGGTTGTTTGTGTGTGTGCACGTGTGTGTGTGCACGTGTGTGTGTGGGCTGTTTGTGTGTGTGGGCTGTTTGTGTGTTTGCACGTGTGTGTGTGCACGTGTGTGTGTGGGCTGTTTGTGTGTGTGCACGTGTGTGTGTGGGTTGTTTGTGTGTGTGGGCTGTTTGTGTGTGTGCACGTGTGTGTGTGGGTTGTTTGTGTGTGTGCACGTGTGTGTGTGCACGTGTGTGTGTGGGCTGTTTGTGTGTGTGCACGTGTGTGTGTGGGCTGTTTGTGTGTGTGGGCTGTTTGTGTGTGTGCACGTGTGTGTGTGGGCTGTTTGTGTGTGTGCACGTGTGTGTGTGCACGTGTGTGTGTGGGCTGTTTGTGTGTGCACACGTGTGTGTGTGCACGTGTGTGTGTGTGCACGTGTGTGTGTGGGCTGTTTGTGTGTGCGCACGTGTGTGTGTGGGTTGTTTGTGTGTGTGCACGTGTGTGGGCTGTTTGTGTGTGTGGGCTGTTTGTGTGTGTGGGCTGTTTGTGTGTGTGCACGTGTGTGTGTGGGTTGTTTGTGTGTGTGCACGTGTGTGGGCTGTTTGTGTGTGTGGGCTGTTTGTGTGTGGGCTGTTTGTGTGTGTGCACGTGTGTGTGTGGGTTGTTTGTGTGTGTGCACGTGTGTGTGTGGGCTATTTGTGTGTGTGCACGTGTGTGTGTGGGCTGTTTGTGTGTGTGCACGTGTGTGTGTGGGTTGTTTGTGTGTGTGCACGTGTGTGTGTGCACGTGTGTGTGTGGGCTGTTTGTGTGTGTGCACGTGTGTGTGTGGGTTGTTTGTGTGTGTGCACGTGTGTGTGCACGTGTGTGTGGGCTGTTTGTGTGTGTGCACGTGTGTGTGTGGGTTGTTTGTGTGTGTGCACGTGTGTGTGTGCACGTGTCTGTGTGGGCTGTTTGTGTGTGTGGGCTGTTTGTGTGTGTGGGGAGCGGTAGTGTAGCGGTCAGCGCGCTGCGCGATGAACCTGGCGACGCGGGTTCGATTCCCGCTCACGGCCAACATCAGTGACGATTATCGGAACCGGTCCTGGACTAACCCTAGGTCGAGTCGACTCAGCCTCAAATTAGTACCTGGTGCGATGTGTAAACATCGCCACTAGGGAGACAAAGGCGGCCAGGCGTGGTGTTGGCCACCCACCCCCTCATGTTCAGTGCCGGCCTTTATCGGAGCTCGCTAACAGCACTTGCCCCTACAGCCTTTCAACTGCCAATTGAGGGATCTTTGTCTTTGGGCGACTCGGTATGTTTCTGTGTGCTCGCGTGTGTGTGTGGACTGTTGTGGATGTGGAACCCCGGTGTGTTGCATCTGCCGTCATCCCAGGCAGTCACCCATAACACCTGGATCTGTCCCATGACCTTCTGCCAGCAATGCTTTTGACACTTTACGTGGCCTCAGGGTGCACCTAAGCTGGCACAAGCGTCTTGGTGATGTCACTGCCACTCAGAGTGAATGAGTGCTTGGAAGCATGAGTACACATCAGTGTTGTGTCAGTAGTTGGTAGCGGCTGTGTCGTGGTTCGGGAACTGCGCTACAAACCCAGCGACTGGCGTTCAATCCCATTTATGGCTAACATTTCGCAGCGAATATCTAGGACCTCACCTACGTCTGCTCAGCGTTAAATTAGAACTTTTGGCCTTCTGCACTGCCCTCTGTTACCCGCCACGTAGTCCCCGCGGCCTATAACACCGATTACAAACGGTGGTCGCCCATATAAATATCTTACCGTTTGACATCAGACGAAACGCGGCCGCATTCATGATGCTTTGGTCGTAGGTTATCTTGATATATGTAAAAACATATCAAATCGTAACGATAAAATATTGTTAATTGCTATGGTTACTCTATTGGAGTCGCTCCTAACGTGAACATCCATTTGAAGGTGAGAGATGGCAAACAGCGTTGGCTTCCCATAGGAGAACCACGCCACGTAGATAAAACTTCAGAGGCATTCAAAACCAGAGGCATTCAAAAGGATACGGGCAGCTCCATTCATAGCGAGACATTGAAACAACGGCTCGTGTCCTTGCAGTTCCCACACACAAACACAATGTCCCCCGTGTAGTCTCTAACAGATGTTTGGGGCAAGTGCTGTCAGGGAGTATCTATGAAGGCCGGCAAGTCACACGAAGGGGTGGTGTGGCCAACACCATGCCCGACAGTCTTTGTCTCTCCAGTTCCCGTGTTTAAACACTGCGCAAGGTAATACTTTGAGGCTGAGTCGACGTAGGGGAGATCCAGGAACGGTTCAGATATTTGCTACACTGATGTTAGCCGTGAGCGGGAACTGAACTCGGTTCGCCGGGTTCGGAGTGCAGAGCGCTAAGAACTACACTACCGCTCCACTGCACCTGGACAAAGAGAAACACACGCACACAGACAAACACGACCCCCCGTATAGCCTGTAACAGACTGTTGGGGCTAGTTCTGTTAGCGCACACTTATGAAGGCCGCCACGGTACACGAGGGGGTGGGTGGTCAGCACCAGGCCCGGCCGCCTTTGTCTCCCCAGTGGCGATTATTTTTGCACACTGCACCAGGTACTCATTTGAGGCTGAGTCGACCTAGGGGAGGCTCAGGACCGGTTCAAATGATCGCTGTCACTGGTGTTGGCCGTGGGCGGGAATCGAACTCAGTGGCCCGGTTCGTAGCGCAGCGCGCTAAACTCACACGCTCTCACAATACACACCGCAACAACAAACACCATTCGCCAAAGTGGCGGTGACGTCATCCACGGCGCTTGTGCCAGGCTAGGTGCACGTTGAGGTTACGTGAAGTGTCGAACGCCCGCTGCCAGACCCAGGTGCCATGGGTCGACTGATTGAGATGACTGGCTGATGCACCACCTGTGCCCCCTACTGTGCCAACTTGCTGTGCTTTAGCCACCCTGCACTCCACTCGTTGTTGTGAGCGTCGCCCCTCCGCCCTCCGTTGTTGTTGGAGGGCGACTGCCTCCAACTGCCCAGCAGCGTCTTTCACGAGCCTCCTCCACTGAGGCCGATCTTGACACCGCTGGTACCAGTCATCGGCAAGTCCACTCAGCTCTACGTCCTCCTGTACCACATCACTCCATCTCTTCTCTAGCCCGTGCCGCGCCCGTTTATTCCCCTCGATCCGGCCGAATAAAAGCTGCTTGGGCATGCGGTGGCTGGGCATGCGGGCTACATGACCCAGCCAACGCAGCCTCGCCTGCCGGAGGAGCTCACCGATGGGACTGTGTCGAGATCCTTCAAGGATCTGTAAACCCCCCACATAATACAATTTCAAACCGGCGCAAATACTCAATCAGAAGGCTCCACAATTCGTAAGCATTGAAAAGGGAGGGCATGACTGTGGCCGAGAAGACCGGAGCTTTGTGTGGAGTGACAGGCCAGGTAGCTTCCACGCAGCGAGATGCAGATGGACGGCACATGAGGAGGTGGGTGGCCAGCACCACGCTCGGCCGCCTTTGTCTCCCTAGTGGCGATTATTTTTACACATTGCACCAGGTACTCATTTGAGGCCGAGTCGACCTAGGAGAGGCCCAGGAACGGTTCAAATAATCGCTGTCACTGGTGTTGGCTATGAGTGGGAATCGAACTCTGGTCGCCGGGTTCGTATCGCAGTGCACACTCACCCCGGCACTCGCACACAACACATTCACGCAACACATTCACACAACACATTCACACAACACATTCACACAACGCATTCACACAGCGCATTCACACAACACATTCACGCAACACATTCACACAACACATTCACGCAACACATTCACACAACGCATTCACACAACGCATTCACACAGCACATTCACACAACGCATTCACACAACGCATTCACACAACACATTCACACAACGCATTCACACAGCGCATTCACACAACACATTCACGCAACACATTCACACAACGCATTCACACAGCGCATTCACACAACACATTCACGCAACACATTCACACAACACATTCACGCAACACATTCACACAACACATTCACACAACGCATTCACACAGCACATTCACACAACACATTCACACAGCACATTCACGCAACACATTCACACAACACATTCACGCAGCACATTCACGCAACACATTCACACAACACATTCACACAGCACATTCACGCAACACATTCACGCAACACATTCACACAGCACATTCACGCAACACATTCACACAGCACATTCACGCAACACATTCACACAACACATTCACGCAGCACATTCACGCAACACATTCACGCAACACATTCACGCAGCACATTCACGCAACACATTCACACAACACATTCACACAACACATTCACACAACGCATTCACACAGCGCATTCACACAACACATTCACGCAACACATTCACACAACACATTCACGCAACACATTCACACAACGCATTCACACAACGCATTCACACAGCACATTCACACAACACATTCACACAACGCATTCACACAACACATTCACACAACACATTCACACAACGCATTCACACAGCGCATTCACACAACACATTCACGCAACACATTCACACAACGCATTCACACAGCGCATTCACACAACACATTCACGCAACACATTCACACAACACATTCACGCAACACATTCACACAACACATTCACACAACGCATTCACACAGCACATTCACACAACACATTCACACAGCACATTCACGCAACACATTCACACAACACATTCACGCAGCACATTCACGCAACACATTCACACAACACATTCACACAGCACATTCACGCAACACATTCACACAACACATTCACACAGCACATTCACACAACACATTCACGCAACACATTCACACAGCACATTCACGCAACACATTCACACAGCACATTCACGCAACACATTCACGCAACACATTCACGCAGCACATTCACGCAACACATTCACGCAACACATTCACGCAGCACATTCACGCAACACATTCACACAACACATTCACACAACACATTCACACAGCACATTCACGCAACACATTCACGCAACACATTCACGCAACACATTCACACAGCACATTCACACAGCACATTCACACAACACATTCACGCAACACATTCACGCAGCACATTCACGCAACACATTCACGCAACACATTCACGCAGCACATTCACGCAACACATTCACACAACACATTCACACAGCACATTCACACAACACATTCACACAACACATTCACACAACACATTCACGCAACACATTCACACAACACATTCACGCAACACATTCACGCAGCACATTCACGCAACACATTCACGCAGCACATTCACACAACACATTCACGCAGCACATTCACACAGCACATTCACGCAACACATTCACACAGCACATTCACACAACACATTCACACAGCACATTCACGCAACACATTCACACAGCACATTCACACAACACATTCACACAGCACATTCACGCAGCACATTCACGCAACACATTCACGCAGCACATTCACGCAGCACATTCACGCAACACATTCACGCAGCACATTCACACAACACATTCACACAACACATTCACACAACACATTCACACAGCACATTCACACAACACATTCACACAACACATTCACACAACACATTCACACAACACATTCACGCAACACATTCACACAACACATTCACACAGCACATTCACGCAACACATTCACGCAACACATTCACGCAGCACATTCACGCAACACATTCACGCAACACATTCACGCAGCACATTCACGCAACACATTCACGCAACACATTCACGCAGCACATTCACACAACACATTCACACAACACATTCACGCAGCACATTCACACAGCACATTCACGCAACACATTCACACAGCACATTCACACAACACATTCACACAGCACATTCACGCAACACATTCACACAGCACATTCACACAACACATTCACACAGCACATTCACACAGCACATTCACGCAACACATTCACGCAGCACATTCACACAGCACATTCACGCAACACATTCACACAACACATTCACGCAACACATTCACACAACACATTCACACAGCACATTCACACAACACATTCACACAACACATTCACACAACACATTCACACAGCACATTCACGCAACACATTCACGCAGCACATTCACACAGCACATTCACACAACACATTCACACAGCACATTCACACAACACATTCACACGGCATATTCACACAGCACATTCACACAGCACATTCACGCAACACATTCACGCAGCACATTCACACAACACATTCACACAACACATTCACGCAACACATTCACACAACACATTCACACAGCACATTCACACAACACATTCACACAACACATTCACACTCGCTTGCTCACTCGCATTCGATGTGCTACTTTGCCCCAAAGAACGGCCGATCGGCTACACAAACGCCGCACGTGACCTTTCCCTCTGACAATCACCACCGTAAACTCGCAAGCCCAAGTGAGGATGTTCACTCTGAAGAAGGTGCCGCATTCCAACCTCAACAATGGATCCCCTCCCGCGAGGACGTCGGCCAGCACGTAGCACGTCGCCACCAGCCCCCGACTCGAGTCGTTCCCCGGGGGGGGGCGACTTCATTGGCACTCACCGTCGTGATGGAACCCTCGGACGGTGTTTGCTCTCCCTTGCGCTTGCCGTGGGAATGCGACCTCCTCCTCCTCTTCCTCCTCCTCGACATCCACCTCGCCCACTCGCCCCTCGTCTGCCCGGGCCCATCGCCGCCGTCGGGGGCCGCCCCCGTGCCCCGCGCCCCGCCGCTGCTGGGCGCGGTAGAGCTGCTCGAGGTAGGGGGGCACCGCGACCCCCGCGCCGGGCCGGGGTCGCCTCCGCAGCCCGAACACCCCGAGCAGCCTCCCCTCGAGCTCCCCCAGCAGCAGCCGCCGCCGCGAGCTCCCGCGCGGCGCGCCCCGCTCGACATCGCGGCCGAGCGTCGTCGCCGGCGCTGCCAGCAGCAGGTCTGCGCCGCCCTCGGACCCTCCTCCTCCGACGCTTCCGACCGCTGCTTCTCTCGCCCCCGCGCTTCCAAACCCTCTTGCAGCAGCAGCAGCAGCACCGAGGCCGCCGCCGCCGCCGCCTCCTCCAAAGGCTCCGTGCGGCGCGGCGGCCAGGTGAAGCAGCGCGGCTGTGATGACGAGAGCGGCTGCCTCACCCGCGGTCATGGTGGGCTGGGAGCGGTGGGACAGACCGCCCCGCAATCGCGCATCGTGCACGGGGGGGGGCGGGAGTGTCCACCCGGGGGGGGTCACGGCCACCCGGGGGGGGTCACGGCCACCCGGGGCGTCGGGGTCACGGCCACCCGGGGGGGGGTCACGGCCACCCGGGGGGGGCGGGGGGGTCACGGCTGACGGCGGTCGCGGGGGGCGCGCGGTGGCTGCTGTCGGGCTGCGTCCCTCGCGCGCGACTCTCCCGCCTCCTCCTCCGCCGCTCCAGCGGCTCTGCACGGGCGGACGGGGTCACGTCTGTCGGGGGGCGGGGGGCCGTGTCCGCGTCGGAGCCGCGAGCTTCGCGTGCGCCGGGGGGAGAGACGTGTCGGCCGCCCCAAGAGGGGTGCGCTCACGGCAATGAGTGCTCTTGCAACTGGTGAGGGATCAATGTTAGATATGTGTGTTTGTTGTTACATCTAAATTGAAAACTCATTCCTTTAGAACTGCTTTATCATATGTAGTTGTCCTTCCCCCGTACTTCCGATTAGCACGATTGGTTACGTACGGCGCGAAAGAAGTTCAACATACATCTGTGCGCGCGCTGGTCTGTGTGTGCGTGTGTCTGTGTGCGGCCGTGTGTGTGTGTGTATAAACGCGTATGTGTGCGTGTTTGAGACTTGTGTACGCAAGAAGAAAATCACTCAGCCGCTGTAAAAATAATACAACGGCAGCGATCAATGATTCCCTGATGAGACAAATTCCTCGACCTGTGCCCGACTTCCCTCTCGGTCGCCCTCCGGGTAAAGTGAAGATGCAGTTCATGCGTCGCTTTCATCTCCGTGTCTCTCGTTCGATCCGAATCGTGACCCGAGTCATCATCATCATCACTAGTATTAGTATTCCCTGTTGGTCTTCAACTCGCCCAGAAGCTGCCCGAGGTGCGTTGTGCCGCAACGCGAACGCGGCGCCCTCGCGATGGAGAATCCCTGAAGACGAATGGTGCTGTGCTTGCTGCTTCTACAGGTCGTTGTAGTCGTCTCTGTGAAAGGAAACTCAACTCTCTAGAGCTCCACAAGGACGTAACGCATCCATGCGGCGCGGTCGAGCGACCTTCGCGATCTCTTCCGCGCGAAACTCCTCTGAACAGATGCCGCCACCGCAGGGCACAGCTGCTGCTGCGGACTGCCGCTGATGATAGCTGTTGTTGTTGTTGTTGCTGATAGCTGTTGTTGCTGCTGCCGCTGATGATAGCTGTTGTTGTTGCTGTTAGCTGTTGTTGTTGTTGTTGCTGATAGCTGCTGCTGCGGACTGCCGCTGATTGCTGCTGCCGCTGATGATAGTTGTTGTTGTTGCTGATAGCTGTTGTTGTTGCTGATAGCTGGTGTTGTTGTTGTTGCTGATAGCTGTTGTTGCTGCTGCCGCTGATGATAGCTGTTGTTGTTGCTGTTAGCTGTTGTTGTTGTTGTTGCTGATAGCTGCTGTTGTTGCTGCCGCTGATTGCTGCTGCCGCTGATGATAGCTGTTGTTGTTGCTGATAGCTGTTGTTGTTGCTGATAGCTGGTGTTTTTGTTGTTGCTGATAGCTGGTGTTGTTGTTGTTGCTGATAGCTGTTGCTGCTGCCGCTGATGATAGCTGTTGTTGTTGCTGATAGCTGTTGTTGTTGCTGATAGCTGGTGTTGTTGTTGTTGCTGATAGCTGTTGTTGTTGCTGATAGCTGGTGTTGTTGTTGTTGCTGATAGCTGGTGTTGTTGCTGATAGCTGGTGTTGTTGCTGATAGCTGCTGCCGCTGATGATGATAGCTGTTGTTGTTGCTGATAGCTGGTGTTGTTGCTGATAGCTGTTGTTGTTGCTGATAGCTGCTGTTGTTGCTGATAGCTGGTGTTGTTGCTGATAGCTGCTGTTGTTGCTGATAGCTGGTGTTGTTGCTGATAGCTGGTGTTGTTGTTGTTGCTGATAGCTGGTGTTGTTGCTGATAGCTGGTGTTGTTGTTGTTGCTGATAGCTGCTGTTGTTGCTGATAGCTGGTGTTGTTGCTGATAGCTGGTGTTGTTGTTGTTGCTGATAGCTGCTGCCGCTGATGATGATAGCTGTTGTTGTTGCTGATAGCTGGTGTTGTTGCTGATAGCTGTTGTTGTTGCTGATAGCTGCTGTTGCTGATAGCTGGTGTTGTTGCTGATAGCTGCTGTTGTTGCTGATAGCTGGTGTTGTTGTTGTTGCTGATAGCTGGTGTTGTTGTTGATAGCTGCTGTTGTTGCTGATAGCTGTTGTTGTTGCTGATAGCTGCTGTTGTTGCTGATAGCTGGTGTTGTTGTTGTTGCTGATAGCTGGTGTTGTTGCTGACAGCTGCTGTTGTTGCTGATAGCTGCTGTTGTTGCTGACAGCTGCTGTTGTTGTTGCTGACAGCTGCTGTTGTTGTTGCTGACAGCTGCTGTTGTTGCTGACAGCTGCTGTTGTTGCTGATAGCTGCTGTTGTTGCTGATAGCTGGTGATAGCTGTTGTTGTTGCTGATAGCTGCTGTTGTTGTTGCTGATAGCTGCTGTTGTTGTTGCTGACAGCTGCTGTTGTTGCTGCTAGCTGGTGATAGCGCGTGTTGTTGTCGCTGCTGATAAGGATCCTGCTGTCGGTTCTGAAGATGATGCGTCTGCTGGTGTCGCTGGTGCCGCTGCTGATGTTCGCGTTGCGAATGCCGCTGCCGCTGCTACCGCCTGTAACACCGAGCAGCTCCCTCCGGTGGCGGCGCGCGCAGCCCTCCCGCTTCTAATCCGCGCGTGGCGGGCAGCTCGCCGGCTTTTAAGCGACGCACGTCACACGCAAACGACCAATCACAGCACCGGGGGTAGAGAGAGAGCGCATCGCGAAGAGCTTCGTGATGCTGCTACCGATGGTGGTGCGTGGGTGGGTGGGTGTGGATGGGTGTGAGTGGGTATGGGTGAGGGTGGTCGTGGGTGGGTGTGGGTGGGTATGGGTGAGGGTGGTCGTGGGTGGGTGTGGTTATGGGTGAGGGTGGTCGTGGGAGGGGTGTGGGTGGGTATGGGTGAGGGTGGTCGTGGGTGGGTGTGGGTATGGGTGAGGGTGGTCGTGGGTGGGTGTGTGTTGGGTGAGGGTGGTCGTGGGTGGGTGTGGGTGGGTATGGGTGAGGGGTGGTCGTGGGTGGGTGTGGGTGGGTATGGGTGAGGGTGGTCGTGGGTGGGTGTGGGTGGGTATGGGTGAGGGTGGTCGTGGGTGGGTGTGGGTGGGTATGGGTGAGGGTGGTCGTGGGTGGGTGTGTTGGGTGTGGGTAAGGGTGGGTGGGGGTTCGGGTGGGTGTGGGTGGGTGAGGTTGGATGGGGGTGGGTGGGGGTGGGTGGGTGTGGGTGGGTGTTGGGGGTGGGTGGGTGTGTTGGGTGTGGGTGTGGGTGGGTGAGGGTGGATGGGGGTGGGTGGGTGTTGGGTGTGGGTGGGTGGGGGTGGGTGGGTGTGGGTGGTGGGTGTTGGGTGTGGGTGGGTGAGGGTGGATGGGGGTGGGTGGGTGTTTGGGTGTGGGTGGGTGGGGGTGGGTGGTTTGTGGGTGGGTGAGGGTGGATGGGGGTGGGTGGGTGTTTGGTGTGGGTGGGTGGGGGTGGTGGTTGTGGGTGGGTGTGGGTGGTGGGTGGGGGGTGGGTGGTGTGGTGGTGTGGGTGGGTGGTGAGGGTGGATGGTTGTGGGTGGGTGTTGGGTGGTGGGTGGTGAGGGTGGATGGTTGGGGTGGGTGGGGGTGGGTGGTTGTGGGTGGGTGTTGGGTGTGGGTGGGTGAGGGTGGATGGGGTGGGTGGTGTGTGGTGGGGTGGGTGGTTGTGGGTGGGTGTGGTGTGGGTGGGTGGGGTGGGTGGGTGTGGGTGGGTGTTGGGTGTGGGTGGGTGAGGGTGATGGGTGTGGGTGTTTGGTGGGGTGGGTGGGGTGGGTGGTTGTGGGTGGGGTGGGTGTGGGTGGGGTGGGTGGATGGGGTGGGTGGGTGTTTGGTGTGGGTGGGTGGGGGTGGGTGTTGTGGGTGTGTTGGGTGTGGGGGTGGGTGGTGGTTGTGGGTGGGGTTGGGTGGTGGGTGGGTGAGGGGGATGGTTGTGGGTGGGTGTGGGGTGGTGGGTGAGGGTGGATGGTTGTGGTGGGTGGGGGTGGGTGGTTGGGTGGTGTGGGGGTGGTGTGAGGGGGATGGGGGTGGGTGGTGTGGGTGGGTGGGGGGGGGGTGGTTGGGGTGGTGTGGGTGTGGTGGGGGGTGTGGGGGGGGGGGTGGGGGTGGTGGGGGGGGTGGGTGGTTGTGGGGGGTGTTGGGTGGGGGTGGGTGGGGGGGGGTGGTGTGGGTGGGTTGGGTGTGGGTGGGTGAGGGGGGGGGGGGTGGGTGGTGTTGTGGTGGTGGTGGTGGTTGTGGTGGGTGTGGGTGTGGTGGGTGAGGGTGGATGGGGGTGGGTGGGTGTGTGGTGTGGGTGGGTGGGGGTGGGTGTTGGTGGGTGTTGGGTGGGTGGGTGGGGGTGGGTGGTTGTGGGTGGTGGGGGGGTGGGTGGTGAGGGTGGATGGTTGTGGGGTGGGTGTTGGGGTGGGTGGGTGAGTGGATGGTTGTGGGTGGGTGGGGTGGGTGGTTGTGGGTGGGTGTTGGGTGTGGGTGGGTGAGGGTGGATGGGGGTGGGTGGGTGGGGTGGTGGGGGTGGGTGGGTTGTGGGTGGGTGTTGGGTGGGGTGGGTGAGGGTGGATGGGGGTGGTGGGTGTGGGTGGGTGGGGTGGGTGGTTGTGGGTGGGTGTTGGGTGTGGGTGGGTGGGAGTGGGTGGTGTGGTGGGTGTTGGGTGTGGGTGGGTGAGGGTGGGTGGTTGTGGGTGGGTGTTTGGGTGGGGGTGGGTGGGAGTGGGTGGTGTGTGGGTGGTGTTGGGTGTGGGTGGGTGAGGGGGGGTCGTTGTGGGTGGGTGGTGGGGTGTGGTGGGTGAGGGTGGATGGGTTGGGGTGGGTGGGTGTGGATGGGTGGGGGTGGGTGGTTGTGGGTGGGTGTTGGGTGTGGGTGGGTGAGGGTGGATGGGGGTGGGTGGGTGGGGGTGGGTGGGGGTGGGTGGGTTGTGGGTGGGGTGTTGGGTGTGGGTGGGTGAGGGTGGATGGGGTGGGTGGGTGTGGGTGGGTGGGGGTGGGTGGTTGTGGGTGGGTGTTGGGTGTGGGTGGGTGAGGGTGGATGGGGGTGGGTGTTGGGTGTGGATGGGTGGGGGTCTCGCGGTTCTCGCGCTTGCTCTACTAACCCGGCGACTCGAGTTCGATTCCCGCACACGGGTACCAGTGACGATTTTCTGAACCGGTCCTGGGCCTCCCCTAGGCCGACTCAGCCTCAAATTAGTATTTGTGCGGTGTTTAAACCTCACTACTGGGGAGACAAATGCGAACGGGCCTGGTGCTGTCCACCCACTCCCTCGCTAACAGCACTTGCCTCACAAGTCTGTTGAGGCGATGAGGGATCTTTGGAAGTAGGTGGAGGGGTGGTGGGTGGCATGGGAACTGGAGACCGAGCTCAGACTGGTGGGTGAGCGAGGGATTCACTGCGGGTTGTTCGTTTGCGTGGAGATATAGCCACCACTGAGCTGATCGAGGAGCTGCTGGTTCTAGAATAATTATAATTGTGCTTTATTTTAGGTGGAGCGGTGGCGCAGTAGTTAGGGCACTGCACTATTAGCTCGGAGATTCCGGCTCAAGGATAACCGTGGCGAACGATGTCTCAACCGGTTTTGCCACCCACCCCACACCCTTCAAACTGCACTGACCAGCGTGGTGAAGTATGATTCCCACAGTTGAGTAGCACGGTTGGCTACTGACGGTGCAACAACATCGAAACGTCGTGATATTTGTAATCACTTTATTTTTTTTATTTTTTTTTATCTACGTGACTTTACTGAAAGAATCATAGAATAAGAATTCCTGCAGTCACGAAAGTTTTAAGTCAAAATTTTACATGCATACAAACAACAACAACTCCTACATCTAAAATTGTGAGGTGTGGATATCATCCAGCCATGGATTGGGAAATGTTTACAACGTTACCGCATTCTTGATTAAACCAAGCATGTCCAGGATGACGTGTATCACTTAGATAACAATGCCTGGCAAATTCACGTAACATAGGTTAGCCCTCGCTTAACGCATGTTCGCACAACGCATTTTGGTTATAACGTGGAATGTGCACCGTTGTGATAACGAGCACTCTGAGCGGTCGACGACAAACTG